CTTAGATTAAAAAAAAAAAAATGTTATCTGCAGTTTTGCATTTGCATGGTCATTAAACAAACCAGACCTAAAGGTTTTACATATCTGCAATGTTGACCTTGTATTTTGTTCCTTTTGCACTTTGTTCCTTTTGCAATAAATTTTGTAGGGTCTCGTTACTGATGTAATGAAGTGAGAAAAGAATCCCTGTAGATAACCAAGTCAGCCAGTGCACCAATTCATAATATATCTTTGATCATATTGTACTTGGAGTATACATACGTGTTCTCACTAAACCTCGGCTAATTTGAGAGCTGGGAAAGATATAAACAAGGGCAGTGAATATGATTATGGGACTACAGCAGCAGTCCTATAAAAAAGGCTACCGTGTTTAGGTTTTTTAGCTTGCAGCAAAGGCAGTTAAGAGGAGACGTGTCAGAGTGGTGTTTTCAACCTGAGCAAATCCAGATCTGTAGACTTTTAACTCCCAAAATTCCATAGTCAGCATAGCCATTGCTGAGAATTCTGGGTGTTGTTCACATATCTGGACATTGGCTAGGCTGAGAAACACTATCTTAGAGGAGTGTAAAATCATGCATAGTATGGACCTGTGGATAGGGAGAGGGCTTTTTTCTCTTTCTTACAATGTCAAAACTGGGGGTCATCTAATATGGGTAGATTCAACCTAATATGGGGAGATTTTGGACCTATAAAGGAAGCACTTGGTTAAACCTTGGAACTGATGATGATGGCTACCAATTTGGGTGGCTGTAAAGGATTCCAGGTAAATTATGGGTTATCATTGCAGCCAAGATGTTTGTTACAAGTGACCTGCTTTGAAAGTTGGCTGCTAAAGAAGGTTTGTTTCTCCCTTGTCCACATTTCTGAACTTTTTGAATGTAGGGCATTCAGAGCTTCTCTTCCTTTGTTATGTCTGGGACAAATAATTACCTTTTAAATGTTTGATTTTTAGAACCGTTTAATCTTTAACCAGACCAGTACTGTACGACATTTAGTTTAAATCTGGTTTAATAGCAAGAGCTCCTCTTGCTGTTTTGTTGCCCTTCATGAAGAACATTCCTTTAACATGTCCCTATGAAATGTTAATGAAAATATTCCAGAAATGCATTCAAAATTCCTTTGGCTATACATTAACTGTGTACAGTGAAATAATCTGAATATTAAAGCAGCAGAAAGCAACTTATGAGGTCATTGAATACCTCTTTTAGAAATGCCTAAAGCAGATAACTTAGTCTGTGTTAACATGTTGCCTTAAGCCACAATGTGATTTATTTGATTTGAGTTTAGTGTGATGTATGGACTATAGTCTTAAATTTGCCTTTATACAATTTTGAAAAATTTTATAGAACATTATATTCTCATTTTAAAAATTGTTTTCCTGTAATAAGCTATATAACCAATAGCTAACTGGACAATCTGTGATAGGCCATTATAATTATTAAAGTTGGGGTGAGATTAATATTCTCAGGAGCCACCTGCTGGTGAAGAGAAGTATTTTAGCAGACCTAATTTGAGGAAATACTCAGTAATAACATTCAGAACTGATGCCGGAAATGAAAAGTGCTGAAGATAAATATCTGTTTTGTAATCTCTCTATGTGCATGTATTAATATGATAACAACATCTTCATTATCACATTGCTTTTCAGCTTGGAAAACAAGCTAGGTTCCAATCTACTATGGAGTATTTGCCTAAAGAGAACTTCAGTTTCTATGTGCAGTTTTCCATACTAGCACAGAAACTGTCTTTCTTGGGCCTGCCCTCAGGAGACATTGTTATACTATTGCCCCATATGCTAAACAGTCTTTACAATTACAGTCTTTACAAGCCATCCCCACCCAAGCACTTCCCAAATGTGTTGGACTACAGTTTCCATCACCTACAGTCAGTGTAACCAGTGCTGGGAGAGATGGGCGACATACAAATTTAATAATAAATAAAATAAATAAATAAACCAGTCACAAGCCTGGTCTACATCAGTTGATAGATGCTGCCTGCAGGGTTGCAGACAGATGTTCTTCTTTTTCTTGTTGTTTTCTGTACATGACTGAACCTGAGACCCCTTGCATGTCAAGCATGTACTTAGCTGTGGCTCTTCTACAATGTGTCTATGAAATTCAGAGTTTCACACATGTGCAGCAGCAAGCTGTACATCTGTTGATGTGACTGTGAAGCTCATTTTCTTTATTGGTGTCACTCCTGAGCATCAGTCAGTCTGTTATTCTTTATACAGTGAAATCTCATTTTTCAGCTATTGTTGTTAGTCCTTGTGTTGAGTGGAAACTTGAATTTACATTATGATCTTCCTTTTTTTAACTTCCAATTCTTTGGAACAGAGCAGCATTTTCCTGAGGTGATGCTTGGTGAAGAATTTCTTAGCCTAAGCCTGGACCAGGTTTGCAGCTTGATATCGAGTGACAAACTCACAGTGTCATCAGAGGAAAAGGTATTCTTGATTGTATCTTCTGTAATATGGAAATAGAACAAAACTTGCTTCACTGTATAGACAGAGGAGAAAGAGAAAGACCTGAGCATTCAAATAAATAACAACTTTTGCTAGTTGTCACATGGAAATTGCTTCTAACAATGAAATAAATTTTCTTCTTCTTTGAGAAGAACCTCCCCTGAAGATCCCAAGGCGCAGATATGCTGCCATAGGGAATGGTGCTTCTTTAGGTATTAATTAGGATCTCAAGCTAATTAGGGTTTTAAAGATCAGCACAATCATACATCTTTGAATTTAAAAGCTTCTGTATGGTGCTGTCCAGAACTAAGACAGAAGTGGAATAAACTCCAGTAGGCTTTGAAATTCTCTAACCTAAGAAGATTCAGCGCACCTAAAGGCAGAAGCCTTATATGATCAGGAAAAGGATACATCAAAACGGCCACTAATGAAGCTGAAAAGATGAGAAGGCACACAGATCAAGGTTCACAATTTAAAACATTGCTAAATGAGTAATTGATTAAACTTTTGTAGAAAGTATAACAAGCTGGATGGAATGTAATTAGTGCCACTTGAAATTTAATGTCCCATCCCTAATTTACACTGGCTGAAGGATTTGGTTTTTAAGCAGCACAAGCATACAAATGTGCATCGGCGCCATCAGCGCTTTAGTCTGGACTTCCCATTGGCAACTTCCTCCTACTGCACATTCATTAATTAAAGCTCCTTTTCTTCAACATTCTTTTTGATGCTCTCAGATATTCAAGTCTCCAGCCTGGAGATTCCTTATCAGGCAGAACCCCTGCACTGAAAGAAATGTTGGCTGCTGATGATTGGATGAATTCAACACAAACCAAGATTTTACATGTACAATGGTTATATATATGTGACTACCTTTGTGATTTAGACTATATTTGGATTTTCCTTCCCTAACCTACAAAATCTATTTTAAACTAAAAAGTAGGATTTCCAATGGCTGGTGTACACCTTCGTTCATTTCATAGAATGCCATGATTTTTCCATGCGTCTTTTGTGTTCCCTGCTATCACATACTGTACGCTCCAGCATCCTATTTCCTGTTGTCCCTTAAAACACTGTCCAAATAGTCATGCAAAAGACTCGAAGCAGGCAAATTAAGTATACCCCCCAAACACATTTTTATTCTAGTGATGAAATCAGAATGTGAATATTGCCCTTGAGGTTTTGAGTCAGCTTCAGAATGCTAACAGTTATAATGTATGCTTATTGCACAACATTGTAAACAAATTGACGTTCTGGACCGGAAGTGTGCTACATAATTTGAAGTCTAAAAGTATGCAAGCTATAGCTTATTTGAAGTATTATATTTTCATCCTGCACACAGTCTTTATGCTTATGTAAACCTTATTCTATCATCATCCTCTGTCTTTTAAAAAGTGTTTAATTAGGTTCTGCAGACTTATTCTTGCAAAATTTATGGAATCACTGCTTCCAAAGTTGGGTTCTGTAATGACAAATTATGTCCCTTTTAGACAAACAAGTTTTTGCTGTTTGCAGGTCTTTGAAGCTGTCATTTCTTGGATAAACTATGACAAAGAATCTCGCTTGGAACACATGGCAAAGCTGATGGAGCATGTTCGTCTTCCTCTCTTGCCCAGAGATTACCTTGTACAGGTGAGTAGTCATCAGATCTTTGCATAATTAAAAATAGTACAAGCTTGACCTGCTTCTTTATGGCTTGATATGCATTCATCTATCAGCCTTAGGAATCATAGCCTTTGCATGCTTTCTTGCTAGGTGTGCACAATGCTTTCTTCACCTGAAGGCTCAGTTGGACAGAACAGGGATTAAATTTGTCTAGAATAAATGGTGCAGGAAAGGCCCCCATTTTGCATTGTAATGACATATGAATTTGGAATTTTTAAAACCAACTTCACGTTGTGTAGGGTTTTTTTTAGTAATGTAATCACTGGGAGAGGTCATTTATTGACATAGGGTGAAGCTGTAGCAGTATGCTGATGATAATCATGTATACATCTCCACCTCTGGCTGAACAGAAGAGGGTATCAAGATTCAGTTCCAGCAAGCTGGAGTGGCTGTGGATTTAGAAGCAAACGGATTCCTGTGGAATTCAATCTTTAGCACTGAATGGGTTGTCCTCCCCATCCAAAGATCACCCATAACTGGGGGTCCTCTTGGATTCATGGCTCTTGCTTGAAGAGCAGGTGGAGACCATGGCATAACTCCATCTTGTGAGCTAATTGTAGCCATTTGTGGATGGAGATACTTTGATTATTGTCACTTATGCTTTTGTCACTTCATGTTTGGACTACCATAATTTGCTTTACATGGGCTGCCTTTAAAGATCATGTGGAAATTTCAGGTGGTCCAGAATGCAATGGCCTGAATATAATGGGCACCACCTGGTTCACCCATGTGACACCACTTCTTTAGGAGCCGCACTTGGTGTCATTAGACTTCTCAAAACCTTTTATGCTTAGAATTTGGATATCTACCTTCTTTGGGTAGAAACTTCCTGTCCAATAAGACCAAGCAGGGAAAGCTTGCTGTAGGTCCTGACTCTTGAAGCGTACTGTTTTTGAGTGACCATAGATGCCCGAATGCATGCATGTATGTATGTATGTGTGCATGTTACTATTGTTCTTGCTGCTGTTAGCTGCTTTTCAGAGAAAAATTCTTCCAAGGAGTTTACAGGATAAGACAAGACAGATGTCAATATTAATAAAGACCAAGTTAATCTTTTCCTAAAATATGAAACACCAAATCCCGTAGCAAGTGCTGTTAAAAAAAATTAAGTAAAGATCATAGATTACAAGTTAAACTTAGATATTCCTAAAGACCTGGAGAGATGCTGATTGAGAAACTTCCAATATAGGATTACTGTAAAAATATCCTGTTCCTCCTGCCTACTGCCTGGCTGCAGCTTACAATTTACATAAATAGTCATCACACAGACTATTTAGGTAGTCTTACACATGTGTTCATATCTTTAAATTCTTGCATTTAAGTCAATCTACCTAACTTGAAAAGAAAAGAAAAAGAAAAGCAGTATTATCCTGGTGATAATAAACTGCTTGTTCTCCCAGTCATTGTATACTGGATGGGGAATGGATGGCCTCCCATTCTTGTAGTATTAATTATCCAATCACAAGAACATGCTGTGCCTGTTTCATTTGTCTTCTTGTTAAGTTCCCACATCAGTGCAATTCAAAAAAGCATGAGCATCCACAAAAACCAAATGCTTTTTCAAAAAAAAATTAGCATGTGAGATAACTTCTGTGCCAAAGAGAACTACTATGTCATAATTAAGTATCTTTGAAAAGTATCTTATGCTCAGTTCACATAATTTTCAAAAAAAAATTAGCATGTGAGATAACTTCTGTGCCAAAGAGAACTACTATGTCATAATTAAGTATCTTTGAAAAGTATCTTATGCTCAGTTCACATAAAATAAAATACTTAGAATACATGTGGGTGTCCTACAAGTTT